ATTTCTACACGACACTTTGGTGTAATTCTACATGACACTCCAATGCATTTATACGAGCTGTGGTGATAGCATTAGTGCACAACCTCTATAGACTCACATATATATAGTTCTCATATGTGTACATGGGCTAATAAAGAAGATGATATAAAAGAACCTTGTATGATATTATGTTCCTTGTTTATAATCTTTATGGTGAAATGATATAGGTGATATGATGGTGATGTGTACATAGCTTAGTTAAGAAGAATAGGTGTAAGAGCATACTCTTTATATGTTTTGGGTTAGGAAATATGTTACTTGAATTATATGATGATATGGGTATTTATTTGTGAAGCAATATGTATGTACCTGATATATATATATATATATATATATATTTGGATGCATTTTATGGATTATCATGATTACATGAAATCATAATAGGAATTAGTTATGATATGCTATAGTCAGTTGTTTATGCTCACTAAGTCATAGACTTAGCGTGTGATTGTTTCACACATAGGTTACAGAAGCGAGAAGATAAGCGAATAAGAGCAAGACATGTCAGCATCTCCCTTACAAAATTTCAGATCAGAAAATAGATGATTTAAATGTGTTTGGTTATTTTGAATACAATTGGCATGTACTAATTGATTGAGTTAACTATGCTCTGATTGATTGTGGTTATTCTGGTCAATTTATGTAATTAAACCGCTTTGATTTTATGAAATATTTAAATTTTCTTTGAATTTTGTCAAGATTCAAAGTTTGAAAAGTCAATGTGACATCTCAGACTCGTATTCGGGCCGGGTACGGGTTGGGGGTGTTACAAACACAGTACTGCTGATAATATACAAAATGGTGATGCTGTGCAAGATACCTTGCTTTCCAATGATGATGTTGATGTTGTTCAAGAATCATCAGTGCCTAGTGTACCTCCTGGAAATACCCACTCTATGCTCACGAGGAGCAAGTATGGTGTGTTTTGACCTAAGGTGTACGTGATGGCTCCAAAAACAGTGGAACCAACCAATGTCTATGATGAGTTAAAGTCTGCCAACTGGAAAACAGCAGTATATGCTGAATTTGATGCTCTGTAGAGCAATTGTACATGGACTGTGATGAAGCTGTCACCTGGTAGATCAATTGTGGGGTGTAAATGGTTGTTCAAGCTAAAGACTAATCTAGATGGATCAATTCAGAGATACAAAGCTAGGTTGGTTACAAAGGGCTATTCACAAGTGCCTGGGCAGGATTTTACTGAAACGTTTAGCCCAGTAATTAAGTTTTCTATGATTTATGTGATGTTATCATTAGCTGTAGCGAGGCGGTGGTAGTTGCGTCAAGTTGATATAAATAATGCGTTCTTGCATGGTGAGCTGCATGAAGATGTTTACATACAACAACCACTAGGTTTTGAGCAGTATGTTGATGATGGCAGCCAACTTGTTTGCAAATTGAATAAAGCACTGTATGGGCTTCGACAAGCGCCTAGAAACTGGCAAGCAAGATTGAAACAGTGTTTGCTTCAGCTTGGATTCACTGAGTCTAGGGCTAACACGTCGTTGTTTGTTTGTAACAATAGTGGGGTTTACACATATATGTTTGTGTATGTATATGACATTGTTGTCATTGGTAGCTCGAATGCAGAAATTGATGATGTGGTGTAACAATTAGGTCTAGTTTTTGCCTTAAAAGATTTGGGTGAACTTGGTTACTTCATTGGCATTGTGGTTGAGAGGTGTGAAGGTTCAGTAATACTCAGTCAACGTAAGTACATCCTTGAGTTGCTACCAAGGACATGTATGGATAAAGCTGGCTCGGTGGTTACACCTATGGTGTTGAGTAAACTACAGTCTGATGTTGGTGAACTGCTGGAAAATGCAAGGGAGTATCGTAGCATTGTTGGAACGTTGCTATATGCGTGTCATACTCAGCCTGATATCACCTATAGTGTGAACCAAGTAGCTCAGTATATGCATGCACCACGACAGGGTCACTTGGTTGTTGTTAAGAGAATCCTTCGGTATCTTGCAGGAACACTTGAGTATGACTTGTGATAGCCCCGTATGGGAGTGAATGTGAAGATAGTGGCGTTGCTGATGCAGATTGGGGAGGTAATCGTGATGATAGGAAGTCAATTTAGGACATTGTGTATTCTTGGAAGATAATCTTGTGTTCTGGACGTCTAAGAAGCAGAAACAGTCTCAAGGTCCACGATGGAAGCTGAGTATCGCAGCGTGGCAGATGTAGCAGCTGAGGTGACCTGGATTGATGAACTTCTTTCAGACATGGGAGTGGTGAAATAAGGAGTGCCAGTATCTGGTGTAAACAGTGGTTTGGGTCATAAGTAGTAAGATGTCATGCAGGCTAAACATGCTTGATGTGCATTTTGTGAGAGAGAGATTGCTGCCAAACAAGTGGTTGTGAACTATGATCCAGCAAGCCATCAGGTTACAAACGGGCTTACTAAACCATTGTCCAAATCTTTATTTGAACAGTTTCGATCTAACGTTCAGGTGTTTTCATTTGATAGAAGAGCATGAAAAGAAAGCAGGGAGAATATTAGCAGTGTAGGTGGTAGTGCAGTTGAGGAAGTTGAAGAATAGTTAGCAGGTGGTTTAGAATATGTTTGCTAGTTAGCAGGTTGTTTAGAGTTTGTTTACAATCTGTTATGAGCAGTTATTGTTGTATGTGTACCTATATAAACTTGGCTTAAGTGCCCGTGTTAATATACAAGAGTAATATGTTTTTTCTTGCAACATTGTGCTTCCTTACAGTGTGTGTCGCATGCATGCATTTCTTTTTTTTTTCTTCTCCAGCAAGAATGATTTGTTAGATATCTTATATGAGGTGAATACAATATTATATGTTCATAAATTTGTAATTTTTTGACAATGAATATTTATACTCCTGTATATGCGGTGCTCAAACTCAAAACCTCGGTAGAAACTAACAAATCCCTTAACCAATAAAGATTTCTAATAAATTCATTAATTTTTTTCTTATCTTTCAAGGATAAGGTGCAACATTTATAATTCTCAAGTTTTTCTAAAGGTTAAACTAGAATTTTTCTCCTTTTTACAAGGTTTACTATGTGTAAAAAAAAGATCTCTCTAGATAGGTATTTACAAAGATTTAACCTCACAATAATAAATGCAAAGATTTACAATAAAACTCATATATATAAGAGAAAATGAAGAAATAAAAAATGAAAATGTTTTTCTCTTGATCTTTTAACTATTTGACAATAAATATTCATACTCTTGCATATGGAGCGTTTAAACTCAAAATTTCGAAATAATAGTAAACCCCTTTGTTATTAAAGTTATTTAATTCATGCTAATATGTAAATATACATGTGGTGTTGTTTAGAATAACAAACGATAGTAATAATTTTTTGGTTTGACCTAGAAGGAACATGCAACCTTTTTCACATACAGTAGTAGTACAGTATATGCATGATAACAAGATATAGTTCTACAAATTCCACGTCAGCTGGAAAAAGGACGCCAAATTATTGGTCAATTTTTTGCAGCAATGAATCTTAAGTGGGAAGCCACCGTGTAGCTTCTCAACTCTCCATATCAGCTTCAAGTCTTCCACTTTCACAAACATTCCATTATAATATTTAGTTTGAATGCGACTTTTTAATAAAAAGCCCCCCACAGTCTGTCGTTTTATTTATTTAAGGCAAGAATGATATGTATTATGAACTTATATTTAATTATTTATTCTATACACATTTATGTAGTTGACTTATTACTAATTTATTTCATTATTATAATATTTAATTACTTTTGTATTAATTTTTAATGAGGTAGAACATTTATAGTGAAATATATATATGTAATACATAAATCCCTTTTAGCTAAGCCAAAACCATGATTTTGGGAGATAAAAGCATACTGACCAGGAGCCAAAATATGGTGAAGAAACATTGCATATAATTTGCTTGAATGGGTTAACTGCATCTCCACGAATTAATCAATCAATTCGATATGTCACATCGCATTTCACAGAAAACATAACTGATACGGTGCATGAATTCTTAAACCAGCTGCATGCCTAGCTAAAACAACGTGCATTGAATTAGAATGTATTTAAATGATGATAATGACTTCCAGGTTGGAACTATAATTCACTAATTAACAACATGATTACAAAGTATATAAAAGGAATCTTGGAAGATTTGAATCCCTATTCGGCTCGTCACTCTAAAAAAAAAAGGATTTGCTTCAGATCTTCAAGTCAAGAACTTGGATCAGAATAACGCGCCTGCTTTATTGATAAAGTGATGAAAATAATAAGTGATTCACACTGAAAGTCAATCCCCCGTGCAGATAATGCTCAAATCTGCAAGTTGTAACCCCCAGCTATGGCAATCCCTCTATATAAGGGATCTTCTATAGGGTCTCTTCAGTATCTCATTTTCCTTTCAAAATCATTAACCCATCAAAGAAAATGTCTGGGTTTCAAACCATTACCACCCTTTTTCTGCTAGCTGCTGCAATGATGCTCGGGGGATCCCATTCTCAACTTAGTCCAACATTCTATGCCAAAACATGTCCAAATATTTCCAATATTGTTCGTAGTGTGCTGCAGCAAGCTGAAGGAAATGACATTTGGATATTTCCCAAGATCGTTCGACTTCAATTTCATGATTGTTTCGTTAACGTAACTGTTGGGAAAATAGACCCCTTGTAACCCCCTAAACCCGACCTATGCGTTTCGACTAAGTCTAGTGGATCACATTATGATTATTAAAGACATTTTTCGAAACCGTTATTCCATCAATAAAATCACATTATAAATAACATGAAATTATAAACAAATTAACTATCAAAATCCAACTCGTAAATATAGTACCAATAAATAATATTTAATTTAAAACTTGTCTTCAAATTCAATATCACAATAAACCGAGCAGTATTAGCAAAAGAGTTATCATTATAAAATCCGATATTTTAAAATAAGGTCCATGTCAAAAAAGTCAACTTGCCAGATAAAAAAAACTTTACAATTTGATTTACTTCAAGAGATATGTTGATCCTCCAAGTGCTCGAACCAAGGTATCTAACCAACAGTATCTGAAAGGGAAACATTTTCAAAAGGTGAGCTAGGCTCAGTGTGTCCCAACATTTCCATAAATCACCATAGGTACAAATCATAGTCCAGTAATCTCACAAATTCGTAAAAGAGTTTAACTTTTTGAAAATCATAGTTTAAACCCTTTCTGGTACACCATCAGTAGTTCCCAAATTATTTTCCATATAGCTTACTTTATGCACATAGCAAAAGAAAGCCGACTTAAGGATAGGCTCGAAGCTTGTATCCTTAAGCCCAAGTCAATAAGTCCATATAGCTTACCCTAAGCACAGCAAAGGAAAGCCGACCTAATGAAACATCTTGGGCCCTCAAGAGTCACATTAGGCCCAGTTAGCTTGATCAGAGCTATTCCATCGTATTTCAATTCCAAAATTCAATTGCACCGTGACATAAATTCCATAAATCCAAAAACATGGTAATCATATACCATTTCAAAACAAAAATTAGATAGCAGACATATTCCATAAATTGTCACATTAAATTAGTGCATCCATAAAACAATAGCCAATGAATTCGGTGTACCACATATTAAAACCAATAAAACAGTTCAATAATAAGTAGGGAACACACCTCGATAATAGGTTCAAATAGCAAATTTACTGATTGCTGGTTTCACCACGCTCTGCTACAATTTTCGAACGGGTGAATACTGGCACACGTGGTTTAACTGATCTAGAAGAGCTGGGTCGAGCTGTCGAACGATCCGGAGAGTCTCTTGTACCTTCAAACAATAATAATCTATCAGTCCCAAATCCTATTTAATTGTTCAAAACGGACTGCGGAAATGGATTTGGCACGTCGAAAACTATCAGGATAGGTATACTCGGAAAAGATTTACGGTCGTTTAAGGGTCGGTCAAAGCCATTTTAAGTTTTAGTCAAAGAAAGTCAACGGTCACGGTCAACGGTCACGGTCAACGGTCAACGGTCGGGTCGGGTCAACGGTCGGGTCGGGTCAACAGTCGGGTCGGGTCAACCCGGTTCAGACCGGTCAAACCGGTTCAGACCGGTCAAACCCGATTCGAACTGGTCAAACCGGTTCAAAACTGGTCAAACCGGTTTTCCAGCAGTTCACTCTCCCTGCGGCGGCGCGTGAAAATTGCCACGGTGTCGGAAAATTCCCGGAAAAATTTCTAAAAATTATTTTGAGCGATTTCGAGATACTTACAACGATCGGTTCAAATTTTTGAACGACGGAGAGCTCGTATTTCAACTCGGCCGAATCTTTGACTGCTCCACCTCCTCACGCGCCGCCGTCGACGGCGAACAAGGTTGACACCGGCGGACTCGCAACGACACAAGGAACACGATGGTGCAGGAGGTGTCGTAAACGGAACAACGATCGGCGGTGAATTTAAGTTTTTCCCGGTGATAGAGCTAAAAAAAACGACGATGCTTTGACTGAAAATTCCCGACGTTTGGCAGCGTTTCACTTCAATTAATTTGAAGGGTTTGTTCCTCGCTTGATGAACACAACGGTGGTTTCAATTTACGATTGGACGTCGAACGGCGTCGGAATCGGGCTTGGAAGTAAGGGTACGAGAGAAGGAAAATTGAGCAAATTCTCAATTGTGTTTTCTGATTTACAATCAGAAACCACGCTTAAATTATAAGCCTGCCGACACTCCTTGGAGGAATTCAGGGCTTGGTCCCTGAATTTCCTTCAACTTATAAAATGGCCTATAACTTTTCATAAATTTTAGTTCAGTCATTAAATTTCACCAATTTTCACAATTAACGTCCAATTTCAATTAAATATTTTTGTAAATATTCGGGTTGTTACAATTCTCCCCCCTACAAGAAATTTCGTCCTCGAAATTTACCTTATGAGAATAGTTGAGGAAACTGAGCCTCCATGACTCCAATGTCTCCCAAGTAGCTTCTGAGGGGCCTCGATTACTCCACTGAACTTTGACCATTGGAATTCGCCTATTCCGAAGAACTCTTTCATCTCTTTCTAAAATCTGAATGGGCTCCTCCTCATATGACAAATCCGGTCTCAGCTCTACTTCTTCAACTTGAATAATGTGACCTGGATCTGGACGGTATCGCCTTAACATAGACACATGAAAAATCATGAATACGACTGAGGTGGGAAGGCAACTCAAGCTGATAAGCAACAGGTCCAACTTTCTTCAGAATACGATACGGCCCAATAAATTGGACTCAATTTACCCTTACGCCCGAATCTCAATACTTTCTTCCACGGTGAAACTTTTAAGAAGACCTGATCACCAACCTCAAATTGTATATCTTTCCTTCTCTGATCTGCATAAGACTTCTGCCTATCAAATGCCTCTTTCAAACGGTCACGTATCAATCTGACTGTGTCCTCCGTCTCTCGCACTAACTCAGGTCCCAACGTTTTCCTATCTCGCAACTCAGTCCAACAGATCGGAGTGCGACATTTACGCCCATAGAGTGCTTCATAGGGTGTCATACGAATGCTGGTCTGATAACTGTTATTGTAAGCAAATTCAGCCAAAGGCAAAAATTTCTCCCAGCTACCATGAAAATCGATTACGCAACCCCGCAACATATCCTCAAGTATCTGAATCACTCTCTCAGATTGACCATCAGTTTGTGGGTGAAAGGATGTGCTATAATCCAATCTTGTTCCCAAAGCCGTATGTAGCGCCTTCCAAAATCTCGAAGTAAATCTCGGATCTCGATCAGAAATAATAGACAATGGAACACCATGCAATCTGACAATCTCTGAAATATACAATCTTGCCAGCTTGTCCAAAGTATAATTTACTCGCACAGGAATAAAGTGAGCTGACTTTGTAAGTCTGTCAACAATCACCCAAACTGAATCTTTTTTCGAAGGTGTCATAGGCAAGCCAGTAACAAAATCCATAGTAATACGCTCCCATTTCCATTCAGGAATCTTAATAGGCTGTAACAAACCTGATGGATGTTGATGTTCTGCCTTAACTTGTTGACAAGTCAAACACCTCGCTGCAAAATTTGAGATGTCCTTCTTCATGCCGATCCAATGATACCTCTCTTTCAAATTCCGATACATCTTATCTCCACCGGGGTGCATAGCATATGGACTACTATGAGCCTCAGTAAGGATAGTCTGTCTCAACTCGGCATCATCAGGCACACAATACCGACCTTTGAAGCATAGAACTTCATCCCGGTCAAGGGCGTAATCTGAGCTTGTCCCTGCTCTACTTGCTCAAAGATGGGAAGCAAGGAGCTATCAAAGGGCTGCTTAGCCTTGATCTCATCAACCAAGGTCGGCTTAACTTGCAATTCTGCTAACAAAGTGCCATCATCATATAAATTCATCCTGGCCATTAAAGATCTCAACTCCGATACCGTCTTTCGACTCAAAGCATCCGCTACAATGTTAGCTTTACCAGGGTGATAATCATCACACAATCATAATCCTTCAGAAGCTCTAGCCAGCGCCGTTGTCTCAAATTAAGCTCCTTCTGGGTCAGGAGATACTTTAAGCTCTTATGATCCGTGAAAATATAACACTTCTCTCCATAAAGATAGTGTCTCCAAATCTTCAAGGCAAAAATCACTGCTGCTAACTCCAAATCGTGAGTAGGATAATTACACTCATGAGGTCGCAGCTGACGGGATGCATAAGCCACCACTTTACCTTCCTGCATTAAAACACAGCCAAGTCCTGAGTGTGAGGCATCACTATACACTGTAAAATCCTTCCCGGACTCTGGTTGAATCAACACCGGTGCTTGAGTCAAAACCGCCTTAATTTCTCAAAGCTCCTGTTGTGCCTCGCCCCAGTCAAACGGCACATTCTTCCTTAACAACTTTGTCAAAGGAGAAGCAATGATCGAGAAGCCCTCAACAAAACGTCGATAATAACCAGCCAAGCCCAAGAAACTGCGGATCTCAGATACGTTCTTAAGTCGTTTCCAATTCATAATAGCCTCTATCTTGCTGGGATCAACCTGAACACCTCGCGCAGAAATAATATGCCCCAGAAACGACACTTCTTGAAGCCAAAATTCACACTTGCTTAGTTTGGCATATAGACGATGCTCTCTCAAAGTCCGCAGAACGATCTTCAGATGCTCGTCATGCTCTGCCTCAGTACGAGAATAGATCAGAATATCGTCAATGAAGACCACCACAAATTGATCCAAATATCGGAACACCCGATTCATCAAATCCATGAAAGCTGCAGGAGCGTTCGTCAAACCAAAAGGCATCACTAAGAATCATAATGACCATATCTAGTGCGAATAGCCGTTTTTTGCAATATCTGATCCTTTAACTTTCAATTGATAATACCCTGAACGAAGATCAATCTTAGAATATAGTAGCTCCTCGCAATTGATCAAATAAATCATCAATCCTGGGTAGGGTATTTATTCTTGACCGTCATCTTGTTCAATTTCCGATAGTCAATACATAATCTTAGCGACCCATCCTTCTTTTTCACGAACAGAACTGGAGCTCCCCATGGTGAAGTACTATGTCGGATAAATCCTCGATCGAATAATTCTTGCAATTGGACTTTCAACTCTTTAAGTTCCCTTGGAGCCATACGATAAGGTGCCATAGAAATAGGTGACGATCCATCATAAGTCTCAATCTCGAACTCTACCTCTCTATCAGGAGGTAACCCAGGCAACTCCTCCGAAAAAACATTAGGAAACTCGCTAACTGTACGAATCTCCTCGATCGTGGACAATGCACCCTTGGTGTTCAAAATACAAGCAATGAAGGTCTCATATCCCTTCCGGATCATACGATCAATTTCCATCGCTGAAACTATATTGGAGAGATAACCACGCCGTTCACCAATTAACACAACAGTCCGACCATCTGAAGTCTTCAGAGTAGCCGCTTGTATTCGCAATCCAGCTTTACCTTGTGTTTATTCAACCAATCCATTCCAAGAGATCGAACTCCTCTAAAGGAAGCTCCATAAGATCAGCGAGAAAAATTTCTCCCTGAACCTCGAGAGGACAACGCCGGAATACTTTATTCACTAATACCGCTTGTCCTACTGGACTTGTAACTGTAACAGTATTTTCAGTGTTCTCGATCGGAATCTGAAGGTTTCGAGATACTGAGCTCGATACATAGAGTGAGTGGAACCATTGTCCAATAATGCAAAGTATAGGGTAGAATAATAGTAAATGTACCTGCAATAACCTCAGGCTCATCTCTGTCATCACGACGTCTAGTTGCATAAACCAAAGCTGGCTGTCTAGCCTCAGAAGCTGTTGGCCCTCTATTTGCTGAGGTCGGGCTACTGTCTGTCCTGGACGCTGATCCTCGAGTCTTTCCTTGACTACGATCTCTAATTGGGGTCTGTACTGTAGTCTGCGAACGCACATGAGTTTGGGTAGTGGTCTGCTCAAACGAAACTAACTGAGGACAATCCCTCCGATAATGACCACTAGATCCACACTGATAGCAAAGACTCATCTTCTTACGACACTCTCCTGAGTGCTGTTTACCACAATACTCATAAAGGGGCCCATTATAATACGACGAGGAACCGCCTCGACTGACAGCTAAAGGTGAGGATGTTGCAGGCCTGAAACGTGTATTGCTTCTCTGAGGGCTGAAGTACGAGTCCTCTTTCCGGACTGTGCTGATGACTCCATCGGGCCTGAAAATTTCTTAGATCAATCTTGATCAACACGCTCTCTACCAGAAGCTAAAACCTCCACCTCTTCCGCATCTTTGGCTCTGCCCACCAGTACATCAATATCTCATCCTGATGGGTTACAACTTGCCTACGCAGCTCGTATATGAGTCCAAGGGCAAATTTACGACATCGATCTCTCTCCGTAGGTACCATACTGAATCCATACTTCAGCAATTTCAGGAACTCGATCTCATATTCAGAAACAGTCATGTCTCCCTGAACCAGGTCTTGAAACTGTTGTCATCTCTGAGCTAAGTAGCACTCTCCCAGAAAACGACTCAGAAAGCAATCCTTAAAGAAATTCCAGGTCAAACGATCGGTAGGAACATACTGGTCACTGACTCCCACCAAGTGTAGGCATTACCATCTAACATTGCTACAGCCCCATATATCTCTTAGTTGAGTCCAAACCCAACTGACCATGCGTCTCTCTGTATCCTGGAGCCAATCCTCAGCTTCAGTAGGAGCTCCACCAATCTGTCCCCAAAAGTTCTAACTCCATTGGCAATCAACGTCTGTGAAATAGGAACCTCAGATACAACACCAGTAGCTCTAACTGCTCCCTGTATTAACTGCAGAAACTGTCTACTAAAATTCTCATCCAATGCAATTCCAGTAGACTCTGACTCAATATCGGTCGCTCCTATGATCGGTGTAGTCATGCCAATACCATCGGTAGGTGGCATATTCGTTGGTGTCGTAGGAGCAGGATCACCTATTAGAGGTGGGGGATCTACTCGTATCTCTCAATCGGATCTGCAAATCTAGCTACTCGACCTCGTCCACGACTAGTTCGACGACCACGTCTAGCACTCATTTGGTAGATCTCGAGATTACTACAGAAGATAAACTTAAGGTTAGATAAGCACTTGGAGTCTCGAACATAGTTAAAATCTTAATAACTTTGTGACATGGCCTTAGTAACTCGTTTTGTAAATATTTCAAAACTGTATTTTCAATGTGGACTCATACACAGTCCGAGGGTTAAAAACCAAAAGCGCTGATACCAATAAATGTAACCCCCTAAACCGACCTATGCGTTTCGACTAAGTCTAGTGGATCACTTATGATTATTAAAGACATTTTTCGAAACCGTTATTCCATCAATATAAAATCACATTATAAATAACATGAAATTATAAACAAATTATACTATCAAAATCCAACTCGTAAATATAGTACCAATAAATAATAATTTAATTTAAAACTTGTCTTCAAATTCAATATCACAATAAACCGAGCAGTATTAGCAAAAGAGTTATCATTATAAATCCGATATTTTAAAATAAGGTCCATGTCACCAAAATAAAGTCAACTTGCCAGATAAAAAAACTTTACAATTTGATTTACTTCAAGATATGTTGACCTCCAAGTGCTCGAACCAAGGTATCTAACCAACAGTATCTGAAAGGGGAAAACATTTTCAAAAGGTGAGCTAGGCTCAGTGTGTCCCAACATTTCCAAAAATCACCATAGGTACAAATCATAGTCCAGTAATCTCACAAATTCGTAAAAGAGTTTAACTTTTGAAAATCATAGTTTAAACCCTTTTCTGGTACACCATCAGTAGTTCCCAAAATTATTTTCCATATAGCTTACTTTAATGCACATAGCAAAAAGAAGCCGACTTAATGATAGGCTCTGAAGCTTGTATCCTTAAGCCCAAGTCAATAAGTCCATATAGCTTACCCTAAGCACACAGCAAGGAAGCCAACCTAATGAAACATCTTGGGGCCCTCAAGTCACATTAGGCCCAGTTAGCTTGATCAGAGCTATTCCATCGTATTTTAATTCCAAAATTCAATTGCACCGTGACATAAATTCCATAAATCCAAAAACATGGTAATCATATACCATTTCAAAACAAAATTGATAGCAGCCATATTCCATAAATTGTCACATTAAATTGGTGCATCCATAAAACAATAGCCAATGAATTCGGTGTACCACATATTAAAACCAATAAAACAGTTCAATAATAAGTAGGGAACACACCTCGATAATAGGTTCAAATAGCAAATTACTGATTGCTGGTTTCACCACGCTCTGCTACAATTTTCGAACGGGTGAATACTGGCACACGTGGTTTAACTGATCTAGAAGAGCTGGGTCGAGCTGTCGAACGATCCGGAGAGTCTCTTGTACCTTCAAACAATAATAATCTATCAGTCCCAAATCCTATTTAATGTTCAAAGCTAGTCTTCTTAAGTATATAAGCATTTTTCGAGTTTGACTATCAATTTGGGTATTTCGAGTCTGAATTTGGCCAAACGGATTGCGGAAACAGAATCAGGACGTCGAAAAATATAAAGTATGACTTTTCGAAAATTCAGATTCTTGGTCAAAGTCAAAGTCAACCACTTTGACCGTATATTTGGAGACCTTCAGGTTTGAATTTGGCGAAACACTGTGGAAATGGATTTGGCACGTCGAAAACTATCAGGATAGGTATACTCGGAAAAGATTTACGGTCGTTTTAAGGGTCGGTCAAAGCCATTTTAAGTTTTTAGTCAAAGAAAGTCAACGGTCACGGTCAACGGTCAACGGTCGGGTCGGGTCAACGGTCGGGTCGGGTCAACAGTCGGGTCAGGTCAACCCAGTTCAGACCGGTCAAATCGGTTCAGACCGGTCAAACCGGTTCGAACTGGTCAAACCGGTTCAAAACTGGTCAAACCGGTTTTCATGCAGTTCACTCTCCCTGCGGCGGCGCGTGCGGCGCGTGAACAGTGCCATGGTGTCGGAAAATTCCAGGAAAAATTTCTAAAAATTATTTGAGCGATTTCGAGATACTTACAACGATCGGTTCAAATTTTTGAACGACGGAGAGCTCGTATTTCAACTCGGCCGAATCTTTGACTGCTCCACCTCCTCACGCCGCCGTCGACGGCGAACAAGGTTGACACCGGCGGACTCGCAATGACACAAGGAACACGATGCAGGAGGTGTCGTAAACGGAACAACGATCGGGTGAATTTAAGTTTTTCCCGGCGATAGAGCTAAAAAAAACGACGATGCTTTGACTGAAAATTCCAGACGTTTGGCAGCGTTTCACTTCAATTAATTTGAATGGTTTGTTCCTCGCTTGATGATGAATACAACGGTGGTTTCAATTTTACGATTGGACGTCGAACGGCGTCGGAATCGGGCTTGGAAGTAAGGGTACGAGAGAAGAAAATTGAGCAAATTCTCAATTGTGTTTTCTTATTTACAATCAGAAACCACGCTTAAATTATAAGCCTGCCGACACTTGGAGGAATTCAGGGCTTGGTCCCTGAATTTCCTTCAACTTATAAAATGGCCTATAAACTTTCATAAATTTTAGTTCAGTCATTAAATTTCACCAATTTTCACAATTAACGTCCAATTTCAATTAAATTTATTTTGTAAATATTCGGGTTGTTACACCCCTTGTAATCCAACAATCTCTTTAGATCACAATATTAACAAAAATACTTGAAAAATAAAAGAGAGAAAAACACAATAATTAACGTGGAAAATCCCAAATGGAGAAAAACCACAGCGTTGTCAAAAGACAACCAAGAAAAAAAAATATTTACTATGTGGAAAATTATTGCAACCACACTACAATATTTAACTCTCACATGCCCAAAAGCTAAAGTACCCCAAGAGAATTTCCCTTTAAATTCTCTACTAGTATAGCTAATAGCTTTCTAGTACACCACTTGTATTTTGGTGATTGACATACATTTAACCAAAGAGAAATGTTCTATTTATAGGCTAAAAAGAATTTTTCCATCCTTTGTTAATTTTAAATGTGGGATTTGGCCAATTTTTGCCAAAAACTAACAAATCTCTACCTTGGCAAAAATTGCATACAATTCTTCACCATAAAAAACAACAGCTACCTCAATAACACCATCAGCTATGATAGTCACAATTCTAAAAACAAGAATTGTCATACTCCACCATAAGAGTATACACACTTGGAATTCACTAACTCCAAGAATTTTTACGACCTGTTCATGTCGAAAACTGCTAATAAGTTATGGTGCAACTTCCAATGTTGACTTTCTAGGAAGTTCATTAGCCATCGACATCAATTCCACAACACACCTTGCATCAACTGTCAAGCAATGCCCATGTGTAAATGTGGACATGCTACCTTTTCATACATCATTTTCCATGGCAACTCAATTGGTAGCTATCATGCCATGAGGATATATATCTTTCTTTACAAAGCAAATTCATCGCCTTCATTTTCAAGACGACTACATTAGTAGCATCACTTGGAGCCATTAGCCGAATTAGCTCCACCGTTTTTGCAATCCTTCTTTAGATGTCCAGGTTGCCCACATCCCCAGCAGATAATTTTCCCTTGGAGCCTTTATACATCTTCCTATTTCCACAAACCGACAATGCTCCACTTTCAGAAGATTTGTTCTCTCCATTTTTCAGCCTTATTTCTTCCGAAATCAGCTTACTTGTCATTTCTGAAAAATTCATTCTCTTTCTCGTACATTAAAACGGTTTGCATGTGCTCATAGGAAGATGGAAGAGACCAAATAAGTCTCAATGCTTTATCTTCATCATCTCCACTCCAATAGATTCCAGTTCAGAAAATCCCATTGAGTGCACTAAGTGGTCAGAATTTTTTGTACCTTCTTCCATTTGTAATTTGTGAAATTTCTCCTTCAAATATAACTATTGAAAGACTTTTACTTGGTACATTTCCACAAGCTTTTCCCAAAGATCCTTTGTTGATGACCATCTAGCAACATTAGCAAGAACATTTTGGCTAGACAGAGACGAATGACTTGCTGCTCTCATAACTCCTCCCATTCTTCTTCACTCATCTTGGATTTTCCCTTGTCTCCACTGTTGTCACTAGGTTTATCTGGTTCCTTTCCTTCGGACAAAGAAGCTGGCTTTCCCTTTAAGGCCTTATACAATCCAGACTGGATTAGTATATCCTTGACTTGTACTTGCCACAACCCAAAATTAATTCTCCCATTAAATTTCTCAATATCAAATCTGATACTCATTTTTGCTCAACAATGTGTGATCTCACACTTGAATAATGAGTGAACAATTGTCTACAAAATGCACTAAGAAAGTTTCCAGGAAATTGGGGGGACACAAATAGTACCACTTAAGTCTCAACCTCCTTAGGCGATTAAAGCCTTTGTGACAAAACTTTCTTGGTTGCACTTACTTACACAATACCACACTCAATAAACACAATAATGTATTTAAAGGACCTCCAGTTGAACCACAACAATTTCTAAAAAATCTTTCTGATGTAGAAGATCGGACAAGCCGCAACCACAGAGCATACTAAGAATTTAAAGAAATTCCTACACCGCCTTAAAGTTTATCTTTTACCAAACCATTGGCTCTGATACCAATTGTTGGGAAAATAGACCCTTGTAATCAAACAATCCCTTTAGATTACAACATTAACAAAAATACTTGAAAAATAAAAGTGAGAAAAACACAATAATTTAACGTGGAAAACTCTCAAATGGAGAAAAACCACAGGCGTTGTCAAAAGACAACTAAAGAAAAAAATATTTACTATGTGGAAAATTATACAACCACACTACAAATATTTAACTCTCACACATGCCCAAAAGCTAAAGTACACCCCAAAAGAATTTCCCTTTAAATTCTCTATTATATAGCTAATACTAATACACCACTTGGGTGATTGATAACATTTAACCAAAATGTTCTATTTATAGGCTAAGAATTCCATCCTTTGTTAATTTCCAATGTAGGATTTGACCAATTTTTGCCAAAAACTAACACAACAATTTTTGCTCCTCGTTGATACCGAAACGTACGTAACATGCCTATAGCCACATTAATATGCACGCATACAGGGTTGCGATGCCTCACTACTGCTGAATGGTACGGACGGTGAAAAAACTGCCACTCCAAACCTTTCAACCGATGGATATGTCGTTATCGATGATATCAAAACAGCGTTAGAGAAAGCTTCTCCTCGTGTTGTCTCCTGTGCCGATATTTTGGCCCTTTGCTCAATTTCTGTTACCTTGGTATTATTTTCCATTACCAATTAATGCTTCTAATCTTTTGTATTCCTTCCAAATTAGTGTTAGAACAATGTTAAAGCGGATGTTTGGTGTGCAGGTTGAAGGTCAATCATGGAAATTCCCACTAGGAAGAATGGATAGTCGGATTGCACACCTTGAAGGAATTGGAGGCATCCCAACTCAACATGATAGCCTTGCCAATATTGCTGCCAGATTCGAGAGCGTTGGACTTGATTCCACTGATCTTGTCACTTTGTCTGGTAATTCTTCCACCAATAAAGTTACATCAGATAAAATTTGGGTCAACGATTTTTCATTCCGGATACTTCTCAGGTGTTCACACATTTGGAAGGGCACAATACGCTGCTTTCATGGACCGCCTCTACAATTTCAATAACGTATCTGGCGAAGTCGACCCGACCCTCAACGCCACGTACGCGAAAGCACTTCAATAACAATGTCCTAAAGGTGGAGATGTCACGAGTTTGATCGATCTTGACGAACAAACTTCCCTTAGCTTTGACAACAAGTACTTTTTGAACCTTCAAAACCGCAAGGGACTCCTTCAATCCGATCAAGAACTGTTCTCCACTAATGGGGCTGAGACTGTGGCCATTGTCAATAGGTTCACAAGAAGCCAAAGTCAGTTTTTTGCTAGCTTTGCTAAGGCCATGATAAAGGTGGGAAACATAACCCTTGACTGGTACCAATGGAGAGGTCAGGCTGGATTGCAGAAATATCAACTAGAAGATTGGACTATATTACAAGGCCAATGATATGGTTGTCCATATGTTAAGTTTAAACTTTAGGTGTGTTTTTGTTCTTCTTTAATACAATGTTTTCTCGTTCTGATCATGTTCTGTCGTTGGTTGGAAACTGTAGCAAAATGCATACCAGGAACATAGTCCTATAACGTTTTGGAATAATAACAATACCAAAAGTTTAGTTCATTAATCATTGATCAAACAAAGTTATTGGAAGTTTTATATATCTTATAACAAGAAGAACAGACATATCCTTCAGTTCAGAGATTTGTGCCAAATTTGAATATCGTGAAAAATCATCAAATACAATGCATTGTCCTTCTCCCCGTATACGGACAAACGTCAAAATTAAGAGGAAAAAAAAATATTTTTGGTCAGTCGTTAAACAGTTACCAGTTTACCCCTATGATTATGCGTTCTTTGTTTAATTAGAATAATACATTTAATCTATTTTTCTACGGAAATTAATTTTTAATATACATCTGGAGTAATTACAAAGCAATCAAAGACTCTCAATCAATTGACAATAAACGCTCATACCCCTACTGGTGCTTGAACCCGTGACTTCTAGAGAATAACAAGTCCCTTAACCATTAAGATCAGTTGGTTCGTGCAATTAATTTAATTTTAATTCAAACTAGATGGATAAATATAATTTATGCATTTATATTAGTCGGTAGGTTTTAATCTTAAAAATTTAAGAATTTTAAAATATAAAAAATCAAAATAAATACACAGAGTAAAATACATAAATGGTCTCCGACCACAAGGGTTACTTTGTTGAATCCCTCAACTATTAAATGTTATAAAATGATCTCACGACTATAGTACATGGCACAATTAGCAGTCCAGCAGAGAATGGGCAAGAGAAGTCATTTTGATAAGATAATTAGTTGGTCATTATAGTACCTTTTTTTTTCTTTCCAGGAAAAGAAAAGTACCTAGATTCTATAGCTAATAACAAGAACATTTATCACTGATGGTCATTGAGTCTAAAATCCATAAAGAACCTCCATTTGGTTTTGATGAAATTTAAGGCAAATGGGTTTTCTTATAGTATGTGATCAAATTTACGTTGAAGATGGAGACCAATGAAGTTTAACTAAGCATTGCACCTCAAATCTTCAATGAAGATTTAACTGCCCCTGTATTACTGTCTGAAGTTAAAAACAGAGAAAATGGCATACCATATACATTGAGCTAATATCAAATTAATATAAACAGGAGCATATATTAAACTTATAATAGTAATCTACGTCAAGAGGGGTTTTTATGCAACGCTATACTCGAAATAAGAGTTCCTTTCCTATTCAACATTCACAAAACATACATCCTTCAAGTTCAATCATATTCTCTACTTTTCAATTTCCCTAGTAGCTGCTATAGCGACCTTCTTGTATTGATCACAAGCTCGTCAATTAGGCCCACAATTTCCCTGCACATAACAACACTGTTATGAAATATAAGAAATAGAACG